AACATTCATTTTATTAAATTTAAACATTAAATTTAAATGGGTGTAAGTTCACCACGCAAATTATTTTGCATTTGAAAACAAATTTTTTCTTTTGAAATATTTTGACTTAATAAAAAATGTAACTTTGTTAAAGCAGCTTCTATTGTTAAATCATAACCACTAATAACACCTAATTTTATTAGCGAATTTCCTGTTGCGTATCCGTTCATATTTACTCTTCCGAAAGCACATTGTGTTAAATTAATAATAATGATGTTTTTTTTACAGGCTAAATATAATTCTTTTAAAAAATCTCTATTTTGAGGGGCATTTCCTATGCCATATGTACATAAGATCAATGCTTTTACTGGGTATAATAAAAAATTTCGAATTACTTTTGTAGAAATTCCGGGATAAATAGTAATTATACTAATAGGTTGAGGTGTTATTCGATACACTTTTAACTTTTTATGATCATTATGTAATTTTTCTTTATATAGATAACGAATATTTACCCCTACTTCTAATAATGGATCTAAATTAGGAGAAGAAAAAGCATCAAAACCATCAGCATGTGATTTAGTAGTTCTATTTCCTCTATATAATTTATAATTAAAAAACAAAGTAACTTCATTAATAGGATGATTTGCTGCCATTAAAAGAGAATGTAATAGATTTTGACGACCATCAGAACGAATTTCTGATAAAGGTATTTGTGAACCTGTTATAATCACTGGTTTTTCTAAATTTTCTAATATGAATGATAAAGCCGAGGCTGTATATGCCATTGTATCTGTTCCATGAAGAATAACAAACCCGTCATATTTATAATAATTTTTTTCAATATCATCAGCAATCACTTGCCATTCTGTTGGTGTCATATTAGAAGAATCAATTAATGGTCGATATTCTTCTATTGTAAAATATGGCATTTCTGGACTATGAAATTCAGGCATTTTCATAAGTTTTTTTTGAAGATATCCAGAAACAGGAATATATCCATATTTAGATTTTTTCATACCAATAGTGCCACCAGTATATGCAATATATATAAATTTTTTTTTCATTTCAAAAACTCTTTTTATTATTTATTGAAAATGTTTTGATATGATTTTTAAAATTTCACAAATTGTAAGAAAGAGTTTTATAATAAAAACTACTTTTTTAAAATATAAAAATAAATAATAAGTATTATAGATATAATTTACATTATAAATTTTTATAATTTTACTGTTTTTTTAAAATAAATCAAGATTACTTATAATGAGATCTTATTAAATATATTTTTGAAACTATTTTTTTAATAAAATAAATTATATTTTTGATATAAAATACTTTAAATGAGCGTATATATGTTTAACTTAAATTATAAACAGGAATGTAGTAAAAGAAGAACTTTTGCTATAATTTCTCATCCTGATGCTGGAAAAACTACTATTACTGAAAAAATGTTATTATTTGGAAAGATCATTCGTACTTCTGGCACAATTAAAGGTAGAGGAAATGGAAAATATGCTAAATCAGACTGGATGAGTATTGAAAAGCAACGAGGTATTTCAGTAACTACTTCTGTAATGCAATTTAAATATAAAAATATTTTAATAAATTTATTAGATACTCCTGGACACGAAGATTTTTCAGAAGATACATATCGTATTATGACTGCTGTAGATTGTTGTGTGGTTGTTATTGATGCAGCTAAAGGTATAGAAGAAAGAACAAAAAAATTAATAGATGTCACACGTATTCATAATACTCCAATTATTACTTTTATTAATAAATTAGACCGTGATAGTCGAGAACCAATAGAACTTTTAGATGAAATTGAAAAAGAATTAAATTTAAATTGTATTCCTATTACGTGGCCTATTAGTTGTGGTCAAAATTTCAGAGGGGTTTATCATATTGCTGATAAAATAATTTATTTGTATAAAAACAAAGACCTAAAAAAAAATTTTTTTATAGATTTTCAAAAATATTCTAATTTATCTGATGTTTTTTTAAATAAATATATTGGAATAGATTTATCACAACAAATATATCAAGAATTAGAATTAATTATTAGTATATATCCTAAATTTAATAATCAAAATTTTTTAAAAGGTATGTTAACACCTGTTTTTTTTGGTAGTGCACTTGGAAATTTTGGCATTGATCACTTATTAAGTAGTTTGATTACATGGGCACCACCTCCTCTATACCGCAAAAGTAACAAACGTATAGTTAAGCCTGAAGAAAAAAATTTTACGGGTTTTATATTTAAAATTCAAGCTAATATGGATTTAAAACACCGTGATAGAATAGCTTTCATGAGAATTGTTTCCGGACAATATAAAAAAGGGATGAAATTAAGACATGTACGAACTAAAAAAGACATAACAATTTCTAATGTATTTTCTTTTTTAGCAGGAGATCGATTGTCTATAGAAAACGCTTATCCGGGAGATGTAATAGGATTACATAATCATGGAACCATTAAAATTGGAGATACTTTTACTGAAGGAGAAGAAATTAATTTTGTTGGCATACCTAGTTTTTCTCCAGAGATATTTCGTTGTATTTATTTAAAAAACCCTCTTAAACAAAAACAATTAATAAAAGGTTTGATTCAGCTATCAGAGGAAGGAGCTATTCAAGTTTTTCGCCCGATAACTAATAATAATTTAATTTTAGGAGCTATTGGAATATTACAATTTGATGTTGTGATAGAACGTTTAAGAATTGAGTATAATGTAGATGCTATATATAAAAAAATTAATATTGTTCTTGCACGTTGGATTAGATCTGATAAGCATAGTAGTATTAATAATTTTATAAAACACTATAATTCTTTTTTAGCTTATGATAGTTCAGATAGTTTAATATATTTAGCCCCTAGTCAAGCTAATTTAAAAATAGTTATGAATAAAAATTCTGATATTTTTTTTGATAATATTAGAGAACAGTAATACTTTCAAAATAAAATAGTTATTTTTTAAAAAAATAATTTCTGGATATTTAATAATGAAACGAATTTTTTTAATTGTGTTAGATTCTTTTGGTATAGGTTTTAGTTCTGATGCTCATAAATTTAATGACATTGGTGCAGATACATTTGGACATATAGCTGAAAAGTGTTTTTTAGGTCAAGCTAATATAGGTCGAGAAGGTATTTTAAATATTCCTAATTTAATTAAATTAGGAATAGCAGAAGCATATAAAAAATCTACAGGAAACTATCCTTTAGGACTTGATAAAAGAAAAGATATTATTGCCAGTTATGGTTTTGCTAGTGAAATTTCTTCTGGAAAAGATACTACTTCAGGACATTGGGAAATTTCAGGAGTACCAGTTTTAGATGATTGGTGTTATTTTAAAAAAAAACATAATAGTTTTCCTGATATACTTTTAAAAAAAATTATACAAGAAGCTCAATTAATAGGTTGTATTGGAAATTGCCACGCATCAGGAACTGATATCATAAATTCTTTAGGAGAAGAACATATTAAAACAAGACAACCTATTTTATATACTTCATCTGATTCTGTTTTACAAGTGGCATGTCATGAAGTTTTTTTTGGTTTATCAAATCTTTATCAATTATGTAAAATCATTCGTACTATTTTAGATAAGTATGAATATAAAGTGGCTAGAGTTATTGCAAGACCATTTATTGGAAATGACAAATATAATTTTAAGCGTACTGGTAATAGACGTGATTTTTCAATAAAACCTTTTTCTACAACAGTATTAGAAAAACTAATAAATGAGAAACAAGGACTAGTAATCGCAATTGGCAAAACTTCTGATATCTATGGTGGAATAGGAATAAGTAAAAATATAAAAGCTACTGGTTTAGATGAATTATGTAATTCTACTATTAACGAAATAAAACGTTCTAAAAATAATACTCTTATATTTACTAATTTAGTAGATTTTGATTCAAATTGGGGTCATCGTCGAGATATTTCTGGATACGCTAAAGGTTTAGAGTTTTTTGACGATAAATTATCTAAAATTATTAATTTAGTAAAAAAAACAGATTTATTAATTTTAACAGCAGATCATGGATGTGATCCAACTTGGACAGGAACAGATCATACTCGAGAAAATATTCCTATATTAATTTATTCACCAGGTATTAAAACACATTTTTTGGGTCATCGTAAAACTTTTGCTGATATAGGACAAACTATTGCTAAGTATTTTTTATTATCTAATATGTCATATGGTCAAAACATGCTTTAAATCTTATAAATGCTGTTATATCATGTAAATAAAAAAGGAAAAAATTTGTGCCTACACCTCATATTGATAGTAAAAAAAACGATTTTTCAGATATAGTGCTTATGCCAGGTGATCCTGTGCGAGCAAAATATATTGCTGAAAAATATTTAGATGATTGTATTCAAATTAATAAAACTCGCTTAATGTTAGCTTATACTGGATTTTTTAAAAATAAAAAAATTTCGGTGATGAGTCATGGTATAGGAATACCATCAGCATCTCTTTATGTTAGAGAATTAATTTTAGAATATAATGTAAAAAAAATTATTCGTATAGGAACTTGTGGTACTTTAAGAGATGACATATCACTACGTGATGTAGTTATATGTATGGGTGCATCGACTGATTCTAAATTTAATAGAATAAAATTTAATAATCATGATTTTTCTGCAATCGCTGATTTTGACATGATTTGTCAGGCTGTAGAAGTTATAAAAAAAATGAAGATAAAAGTTTGTGTTGGTAATTTTTTTACAACAGATTCGTTTTATAATGACGATAAAAAAATGTTAGATATTTTAAAAAAATACAATATTTTAGCTATAGACATGGAGACTTCTGGAATATATGGAGTAGCAGCAGAATTAAAAGCAAAAGCTTTATCTATATGTACCGTTTCGGATCATATTTTAAATGGAGAGAGTCTTTCATCAAAAGATAGAGAATTAAGTTTTAATAATATGATTAAAATAGCTTTAGAGTCAGCTTTATTAATAAAATAAGTATTTTTTATAGTAAAAGTAATATAAAAATTTTGGTGAGAAAGGGATTCGAACCCTTGATACGTTGCCGTATACACGCTTTCCAGGCGTGTTCCTTAAGCCTCTCGGACATCTCACCATGTATATTTATGTGTTATACTAAAAAAAATTTTTGCATTTAGTTTAATATTTTAAACTAAAAAAAATAAATACGTCAAGTTTTTTGCTTCATTAAAGTAAATTAAATATTGATAATAAAGTTTTCTATAGATTAAAAAAATATAAAATATATATATTTTAAAGAAGAAAGATAGAAAAAATTATCTAGATTCTGATAGAATGTTTTAAAATTTTTTTAATTAACTTAAAGGATAAAATTTATTAATGAAACAATTATAAAAGAAATTTTTTAAAATATATTTACAGTCTTCATTTAGAATCAATTTATTAATAGAATATAAAAATTAAATATTTTTAATATATGTGAAAACATATATATTATTTCTTTAAAAATTAATTTTATTCTAATTTGAATTTTTATTTATGTCGTGCCAGCAAAATATGCTGAGCACTGGTATTATTAACGAATTATCTTAGTAATAAAAACATGGCAGAAAAACGAAACATCTTTCTAATTGGACCTATGGGTGCTGGAAAAAGTACTATTGGTCGTCAATTATCTCAACAACTTAATATGGAATTTTTTGATTCTGATCAAGAGATTGAAAAGCGTACGGGTGCTGATATAAGTTGGGTTTTTGATGTAGAAGGTGAAAATGGTTTTCGTATTAGAGAACGAAAAATTATTAATGAATTAACTAAAAAACAAGGTATTGTACTTGCGACAGGTGGAGGTTCAGTTAAATTTAAGGAAACTCGCAACTTTCTTTCAGCTCGTGGTATTGTTATTTATTTAGAAACTACTATTGAGAAACAATTATTACGCACTCAAAGAGACAAGAAGAGACCATTATTACAAGTTTCTACTTCCAACCGTATTATATTAGAAAATTTAGCCTATGAAAGAAATCCTTTATACAAAGAAATTGCCGATATAACAGTTCAAACTGATGAACAAAGTGCTAAATCTGTAGCATTTAATATAATTCGTTTATTAGAAAAAATATAATAAACTGCTTCAAACAAACAATTAATGGAGTGTAAAAAATTGTGGAACAGTTAAAAGTTATTCTAGGAAAACGTAGTTATCCTATTAGTATAGGTGCTGGAATTATTCAAGAAGATAATATCTTCTGGCCTTTGAAGCCTGGAAATCAAGCTATGTTAGTCACGAACAAAACATTAGCTAATCTTCTAAAAGATAAAGTTTTTTATCATTTAAGAAAATCTGGAATAAAAATAGATCAAGTGATTCTTTCTGATGGAGAACAGTATAAATCATTAAATGAAATGGAATTAATTATTTCTGCTTTATTAGAAAAAAAGCATTCTCGTGACACAACTTTAATCGCATTAGGTGGAGGAGTAATAGGCGATTTAACTGGATTTGCAGCATCAGTTTATCAAAGAGGTGTGCGTTTTATTCAAATTCCAACTACACTGTTATCTCAAGTTGATGCTTCGATTGGTGGAAAAACATCTGTTAATCATTTACTTGGTAAAAATATGATTGGTTCTTTTTGGCAACCATCTTCTGTTATTATTGATATTGATTGTTTAAAAACACTACCGTATAATGAGTTAGTATCTGGTATGGCAGAAGTAATTAAATACGCGATTATTTTTGATGAAAATTTTTTTTCTTGGTTAGAAGAGAATATTGAAACCGTTTTATCACTTGATTATAAATCAATATCTTATTGTATAAAAAAATGCTGCGAACTAAAAGCTAAATTAATTTCTCTTGATGAAAGAGAAAATAATTTTCGAGCATTGTTAAATTTAGGTCATACTTATGGTCATGCGATTGAAGTTCATGCTGGATATGGTAATTGGTTACATGGAGAAGCTATATCAGTAGGTATGATCATGTCTGCTCGTACTTCAGAATTACTTGGGTATTTGAAAAAATCAGATTTTAAAAGAATACTTATGTTGTTAAAAAGAACAGGTTTGCCAGTAAAAGGACCAAAAAATATGTCGGCAGCTTCATATATTCCCTATATGATGAGAGATAAAAAAGTAATCTCAGGAGAAATTAGATTAGTTTTACCATTATCTATTGGAAAAGCAGAAATTTATAGTAATGTAGATAAAAATATCATTTTAACCGCGATTAAAGATTCTCAATAATCTTTTTATTTTTTCAAATTAATAAAATTTTTATATATATTTCTTTTATAATTATTTTTTTGCTCTTATAGTTTTATTCTTTTCAGAAATTACATATTTTATTTTTTAATTAATATTTTTTATAAAAATAAAACTATAGGAAGTAAAAATAACGATATAAATATTTTAATATTTTTTAAATTTTTAAAAAATAAAATATGTAAACTTGTTTCAAGAAAAAATTTTTTTCAAAATAGATAGAACGATACAATTTAATGTGAGATGTTTATCTTAAAATTTTTTGTAACTGCGTATTAAATTAATTTTTTCTAATGAGAACCATATTTTTTTAATACTTATAGTGATAATGTTTAATTGACTGTAAAAGATTTTTTTCTTTTTATATCTAATAAATTATACTTTTATTTTTTTATTCTACTGCTATTTTATAGCAGTCTAAATAGTTTTCAAAAAAATTGCTTATTTTCTATTTAAATTAAGATTTTATCATAATAAATGATATTGATATAATTTAAAAAAAAGAATTTAAATTATTTTTTTTAAACTATGATATAACTATAATCATTTTAATTTTTTATAAGTATGAAAGACTAGTATCAATTATAGAATTTATTTTAAAAATATCTATTCCTTTTCTGGTATTAAATCCAATATTTCATTAACATATTAGTTGTATCAAAAAGATTTTTTATATATTGTAAAATCTAAACATTCTATGTGTTGTAGTATTTAAAGTTAAAAAAATAATGCAAGATATTATCTTTATATTTAGTAGGGACATTATCTTTTTAGATTCTAGATATAACTAATTTGTAATAAAGAAAGGAAAATTAAGATGAAAAAATTTTTTTTAGCTCCATCAATTTTATCTGCTGATTTTGCGCGTTTAGGAGAAGATACACAAAAAGTAATAGATGCAGGTGGTGATTTAATACATTTTGATGTTATGGATAATCACTATGTACCTAATTTAACAATGGGTCCAATGATTTTAGAATCATTACGTAATTATAATATAATAGCACCGATTGATGTACATTTAATGGTGAAACCAGTAGATAACTTGATTCCTCAGTTTGCTAAAGCTGGAGCTACTTTTATTACTTTTCATCCCGAAGCGACAGAACATATTGAAAGAACACTACAGCTGATTAAAGAATCTGGATGTAAAGCTGGACTTGCACTAAATCCTACTACACCACTTAATTTTCTTGATTATATATTAGAAAAACTAGATTTAATTCTTTTAATGTCAGTAAATCCAGGATTTGGAAATCAGTCTTTTTTACCATCGACGTTTAATAAACTACGTCAAGTAAGAAAAATTATCGATAAGAATTTTTTAGATATTATTCTGCAGGTAGATGGTGGCGTCAAATTAGATAATATTGCTGAAATAGCATTTTCTGGTGCAAATTCTTTTGTTATAGGGTCTGGATTATTTAAATATTCTAATTATGATCTTATAATTAAAAAAATTAGAAAAGAATTGAAGCATGCTCATTCAAGATCTATTCATTAATATTTTTGATACAGGATGTAAAATGATTTTTCATAAACCGATTTTATTCAGTGCCGTACAGCCATCTGGAAAATTAACTATTGGAAATTATATAGGCACTATGCGTCATTGGTCTCAAATGCAAAATGATTATGAATGCTTATATTGTATTGCAGATTTACATTCTCTGACTATACAAAAAAAAAATTTTTCTTTAAAAGAATCAATATTAGATACGTTATCTTTTTATTTAGCTTGTGGAGTAGATCCAAATAAAAGTATTATTTTTGTTCAATCGCATGTTTATCAACATAGTCAATTAAATTGGATTTTAAATTGTTTTAGTCAATTTTCAGAATTACTTCGAATGACCCAATTTAAAATTAAAAGAATAACAGAAAATAATTATATAAAAAAAACAAATGTAGGTTTATTTAATTATCCTATTTTGATGGCGTCAGATATTCTATTATATCAAACTAATTTTGTTCCAGTAGGACAAGATCAAAAACAACATTTAGAATTAACACGGAAAATAGCTCATCGTGTTAATGCGTTATATGGAAAAATATTTACATTACCTACACCTTTAATTAGTCAATATGGTTCAAAGATAATGAGTTTATTAGAACCAAGAAAAAAAATGTCTAAATCTGATATTAATAAAAAAAATGTTATTTTTTTATTAGATGATATATCAGATGTTATTTTAAAAATAAAAAATGCTGTTACCGATTCTGAAAAATTATCTAAAATATATTATGATATAGAAAAAAAACCAGGAATTTCAAATTTATTAGAAATATTTTCTGCTATTACTAATAAAGAAATTAACGTTTTATCAAAAGAATTAGAAGGTGTAATGTATGCTGAATTCAAAAATATGGTTGCAACTCATTTGTCTAATTTTTTATCTAAATTACAAAAATCTTATATTAAATATCGTAGTGATGAATCTTATTTAAAAAAAATAGCTTATGAGGGAGCAATAAAAGCACAATTAAAATCCGAAAAAACGATACAGAACATATATTCTAAATTAGGATTGTTTTCTTTTTTTAAATAAACCAGAAATATTTTTTCTAGTTTATTTTTTAAAAATAAAATTAGATTAATACATTTGGAAAAATATTTTATATAAAATTCTTTCTATATTTTGTATTAATATAAATTAATATAGATAGTAAAAATACTACACCATAAAATATATTGGCACTAAATAAAGTCGTATATAATCCTTTTTTCTCAACAATAGGACTAGTTACAATAAATGTAAGTAAAGTTCCTATAGTTCCAAACAATAAAATTAAATTAATTAATTTTGGTGAAGGATTTTTTGTTTGTAATGAGGCTAATGTTATAATTATAGTATAGATAGCACTAGA